GAGAGGAAGAGAATGATAGTTAGGCAAATGGCCTTATGGCCATAACAGTGACTAATTAGTGGTGGGTCCTACAACATAAAATAATATCTTTAACATTATATATATATATATATATATATATATATATATATTCATTAAACACATTACCACCACACCTTTAAACATAAAATCACATAAACATGTATCAAATAATAATGGGTGAAATGTCATGTGCCCAAAATAAAATTCCCGTGTACAATAATTCCAGTAACAGGTCCCACCTGGGACCTCTCGATTCGAAAAATAGAAAAATGCCGAAATGGCAACCGATGCATTTTTAAAATTTCTGAACTCAAGAAAATGTCCCAATCAACATTCTGAAACACCTGGCATACCCCACAGTGTTCGGCACGTAAAACGAGAAAAGACAAAAATACCCTCGAACAAAAATCAAAAAAATTCCTGAACATAGAAAATGACAAAATTTGGAAACATTACAAGGTTAGTGAGAGTAAGTTTATATTTCTGATTCTATATATATTGATGATATTTTGTTTGGTTGTAGTGATCTTAGTTTATTATATGAAACTAGAAGTTATCTCTAAGAACTTTGAAATGAAATATATGGATGAGGTATCTTATGTGATATGAATAGATAACGTAAATTTTTAGGATTGTCTCAGAAAGCATATATTACAAGAGTTCTAGAAAGATTTTGTATGGAACATTGTTCAACCAGTATTGCTCCATACATAAAAGGGATAAATTTAGCCAAATGCAATCCCAAAGAATGAGTTAGCTAGAACGTAAAGAACGAAAAATATTCCTTATGCATATATTGCGGAGTTTGATGTATATACAAGTTGGTAGGGGATAAAAAATTATATGCTCATACTTAGGAAGATATTTTTATAAATATGTGGATAATTATTAATTCACAAAGACCTCAATGATGTCATCACATCAAGGTCACTACAAAACCCCAAGAGATGATATCAATATCCCAGACATTCCCCAACCACGTTGTGAAGCCACGAAGGAAAAAGGAAATGAAATAGTACCTCCTTAGTCCACGTTTCATTCCACCAGACAAAGACTACGATTCTACGCTCACATGAGCCTTACTGTGACGGCCCTAATTTTTCAAGTCAGTGCGTCTTGTGTTGAACCGAAGTTTAACTCGATAACGGATTTGAGTGTGGAAGCGAAAACAGAAAATAAGAATCGGGAGATGCAATGCATCTTTAAGAAGCCAGAGTGACCTTCCATGAGACCACGAATCTCAACGAGAACAATGCGGAAGCGAATGATCAGAAAAAGACCGAACATGCCACTAAGGGCAAATTAGTCTTTCCACATGGAAGAAACATCCCTAGGAATGTACATCATTCCTAAGACACGTCCGTGACTTCCCATGGATTCACGGAACTCAAAAGAAGTAGCGGAAGCGGATTGAAAGAAGACCGGACAAATTTAATCCTAAGGGCAAAATGGTTATTTCTGAAAATATAAATTCGGGCTCCACTGGGCACACCACTGGAAATACATCGAAAAACTAATCAAGATGGACTCAAGAATCGCATGATTCGGAATCCGGACGAAGGAGATACGACAAAACAAAGGAAAACGAGCAAATAAAGCAAAAAGGGTAAACTAGTAATGATCCAAAATTATCTAGGTGTAACCGAGCACATCGTTTGATAGACAATGAAAAATTAGTCAAATTCAAAAAAAAGTTCACTCGATTTGGAGTCCGGACGAGGGAGAAAGGTTAAAAACAAATTCGACGTCGCGGCGGCCCGACCATGATAGTCCCTATGCGCGCGCTGTGCTCGCGCAAGGGGTTTGCTGTGCGCGCGCAAAGGGAATGCCGCGTTCCCATGGCCGCCCCCATGACATGAATGGCTGACAACAAACATTTTCTGATATTTCCTAGATCAGAATAGATCAAGAGGGTTAAAAAGCTGCTACATGCATAACAGAAAAACTGAACTTCGTAAGGGATTTCTGGTACCAAGACGACATTTTCTGGAAAAACACGAAGAAGAAATACCCCCCTAAAATCACGTTTTCTACTCGACCATGTTGAAAGAAAAAAAAAAAAAAACTGCTATGAAATATCCAGAATGCCCCTAGATTAGATTGTGCAGAAAACGCCAAAAATAAATCCATTGAGTGCTCATTTTGTGAAATATGACTCTAAACCTGAAAACAATCATGCATGCAAACGTAAATAGTGATTTTGAGTGTGCAGGAATGGTTCGCGACTCCCAAAAATGGCCGATGCAGAATACAACCCCCCGACGGCCAAAAATGAACTAGAATGAAAATTTTGAAAACCAAAATTAACAAATGATTTTAAATTACCGTTTGGCCCTTGGCCACACTTCATACATGATTAATGAGACCTTACGGAAGAATAAAAATGAAATTCCCACACCCGATGCAAACATGGTGAAGCAATGACTTGTTATTTTTTAATATTTTCATAATATTTTATGAAGTCAAAAGTTACATATGATACAAAATAAACGTTATTAGCCTCCAACCTCATCTCATACATGTCAAATACATTGTAAAAGGTGTACTTATGTACACATTACATATATGGAATCAAATATATAAGTTTTGACATATAAAGCTACAAAATGACATTTCATGTTAACATTTGCATGAAATGGAAACTTAAAAGTTACAAGTCATCCAAGGAATGATGTGCATCTCAAACCAAGTTTTCGTAACTAAAACAGGTCGCGCTCAGCGAGGGGTGAGTATCCTGTGGTACTCGTAGAGAATGAGTATGCATAAACCTAGCATTTTACAATATTATCACCTTAAGGTGAAACATGTCAAAGGGGCTCATGCCACTTAACGTCTATGTCAAGATGAGATGCAGGGATCATTCCAAGTTACTTTAAAGCATTTCTAGCATAAAGCACAATATTTATGCAAGTAAACAACATAAGAGCGTATGGCGTAACGCGATAGAACATAGGTATCCAAAATTGTCAAATTGTAACTTAGAATGCGCTAATAACCGAAACGGTTCATGCCACCTAGAATCTAAGTCAAGATACTTATGTAGGATCATTCCATATAACATGAAAAGGTTTTGAATCATCAAGGAATGCAACACTTGAAATTTAAAGGATAAAATCAATGACACGAAAAGGTTCTTAAGTCTTCAAGGAATTGACACTTGAAACTTAAGGATGAAATCAACGATACGAAAAGATTCTTAAGTCTTCAAAGAATGACACTTGAAACTTAAGGATGAAATCAATGACATGAAAAGGTTCTTAGGTCTTCAAGGAATAGATATTTGAAACTTAAGGATGAAATCAATGACGTGAAAAGATTCTCAAGTCTTCAAGAAATGACACTTAAAACTTAAGGATGAAATCATTGACACGAAAAGGTTCTTAAGTCTTCAAGGAATGGACACTTGAAACTTAAGGATGAAATCAATGACACGAAAAGATTCTTAAGTCTTCAAGGAATGGACACTTAAAACTTAAGGATGAAATCAAACAATGTAGATACTCGGATATCGCCCGGATTAAAACCGTAATCTGTTGTAGGGAGCTCTCTATCTCCCATACTAGAATCAAGTCCTAGCCATTTCAATTCTTATTTGATATCCCAACTCCCAAAATCAACAATTTGTGAAAATCAAGATATAATATATATATATTCACACAAGGTATGCCCTAGGCATTCACTCTACGATGGCATATTAAATGTCATATAAGTAAATATGTATGCTAACAAGTTAAATCATAACTTTAACTTGTAGAATACTATCATGTGATTATATAGCAAGTTCCAAATTATAAATTTGGCAAGAATTCAATATCAAAGGGAATTTAATCAATTTAAAGGATTAAATTCTCAAGACTATAAGGTAACTCTAAATATTCTATGAACAAGAAATGTCAAAGGTCATGTCAAGGATTTAATATTAAGTTACAATTTTATTCCAAACAAGATACAACCATGTGAATTAAATTCCATACAAATGAAATAATTAAATATAAGTTTCAAAACTTATTCGATTATTCTCTATTTGATACACGTGAAAGAACTTGTCAGGGTAATCAATAATATCAAGTTAGAAACTTAATCAAATCCATGGAACCGTTGAATAGATTTTTAATTAATTCACTTAATTAAAATCTCTAGATTTTGAAACTAATCTAATTGCTCTCAAATTAAAATATGTTATTAAACATGTCAAGACTTAATAGCATAGTACAAGTGAATACCATGCAAGATACAACCATGAGGATTAAACCTTCATACAAGAAAATAATTAAATTAAAGGTTTCAAAACCTAAGCAAATATTCTCGATTTAATATATATGAAAGTATATGGCATGCTCATCAACAATATCAAGTCGAAAATTCAATGAAGTTAATAGTACACTTGGAATAAAATTAATTAATCTAATTAATTAATTATTACTATATTTTAAAACATTTCCGAATACTCTCAAATTCACATATGTTAAAGAGTATGCTAGGGCCTAATTTAATATCACATTACATGTTGATTTTAAGCTAGATACACCCATATGAATTAAATTTTCATTCTTGAAAATAATTAAATAAAAATTTCAATACTTGTTCAAATACTCTCAATTTAATATATGTCAATGAACATATCAAGGTCTAATTTAATAGCATGCCACAAGTTTAATCCAAGCTATAATCAATCGGGAGAATTAAATCTTACATAAAGAAATCATTAATTAAAGTTTCTAGATTTGATACAAAGGCATGTAAATGAGTTGTATAAGCATTAATAGCATGCAATACATCAAGAATATAAACTTATATCATCCCCTACCTTAATTTGAGATGAAAATCTCAATTCTCCACCGAAAGAAAAGTGCTCCGAATCCAACAATACTCCTATGTGTTGACCTTAAGGATTTTATCCAAAGACAATCTAGTTGTTTTGATGATAATAAACCATTAATGGTGTTTAAGGACTAATGTTTACATTGAGTGTTATATAGATTATTCACATTCAAAGAATGACCTCAATGAAGTTATAAAGATCATTCCAAGTATTCCATTACTCAAGATCACATCAAGGAAAGAAACGGATACAAAGAAGAGTTGAAGTTGCAAAGAAAAATAGCTTGGACTACAATGAGCAAGAAAGCAACTCAAAGGAAGGAAGAAAGCAAGACTACCTCAAAGCCTAAAGATCATGAACAAAGCTTGAAGAAAGGGTAGATAGGATGGTGAGTGTTTAGGATTCAATGTCAAAGTATCTATGAATCCATTTGAAGCTCATCTCTACAGGACCATGCATATCATATCATCATTCGTATGCTCCTATATCCATTAGTAATTGACTATGCACTTCATTCATATACAATTGACATATGGAGTCTTTGCTAAAGAGTGAGTTAGTTCAAACTTGCATAAGTTTTGAAAGAACTCATCACTTGTGCTAGAAATGCTCAGACCGTGCACATCAATCATAAAATTCATATTGGTCAATAATTAAGGCATGAGAAGCCTTTATTACCATGAGTTGGTAACGGACATTAGGACCCCAGAATGTGCGTCATGAAAAACTATGTTTTTGGCTAAGTGTGAAAAATGAATTTTTGAAATAATAATTATTTTAAAATAATTTTTCCCGGTAATAACTCTTTATACTTCAACTAGCCTAAACTGATTTTATCAGAATTTTTGACCAAGTCTACATTGGTCTACATAAGGATTCATTTTTACCAAAACTGTCGAGAATCCAAATTTGTACTGAAACTGAATTTCTACATTTTGATTTAGTTGGATTTCAATTTTTCAGTATTTTTTATTGAATCCAAATGGGGGTAATTCCTTACTTACATTGTAAACTTAAAGTAAATGGACATATAGATTAAAGTAAAGACATTTACTTAAATGTTTTTAATGGAAATAAGCTGTGTGCACATGTCTTGTACTGAAAGTCATATGCATAAACTGTCTGTCAAAACTGTTAATACACATGTCGACTGGTTTGATGCACATGTAGACCGGTATCTAGGCAGTGGCAAAAATCCAAGTTGAAGCTCGCACATGTCAATCGGTTTGACACACATGTCGACCGGTATCTAGGCAGTAGCAAATGTCCAAATGGAGCTCAGTAGATGTCGACTGGTTTGCAAGAGATGTCGACTGGTTTGGAGTACACATCAACCGGTTCAAGCCAAGATGTCAACCGGTTTAGCCACATGTCGACCAGTTTGGTCGCAGATCTACAGATTTCAAACTGCAACGGCTATTTTCTTCTCGACCCTCGTGCATTCCACTCCCAACAGCTATATTGAGTTTGGAAACTCTATAAATAGAGTTGGGAATGTCTTAATAATTAAGAGACATTATTTGAAAGACTTCATATTGCATTAAAGAGAGCTTTTGTTCTCAAATCTTCTCTTCATCTCTCTCATTCACTTATATACAAATCTTGAGAGATTTAACTTAGGATTCAAAGGGCTTTTGCTCTAATTCGAATCTTCATAGAGTTTTTGTTCTATTCTACACTTGAGAGATCTTATTGAGTTAATTAAAGCTTTTGTTCTTCACTTATATCATCTTCTCTCATCCATATCATTTATAGAGTTTGAGCTTTATTTATATTCATCAATACTCTAGTTGTGAGCTGAAAATTGTACTACTATCTTTGAGAGATCTATTATACTTCATTGTTCTTGTTACTATCTATCGTAAGGGTTGATTTGACCCACCGGGTTGGTGTGACCCAAAGGAAGACTAAGGGAAGGTTGTTTTCTTAGCAAGGCGAAGCAAGGAGTTGCTTCATGTAAATGTTTGCTCTCCACCCATAAGGAGAAGCTATATTGGATTGGGAAGTCTCAAGAGGGATCTTGAGCCGAGGAGTAGGAGTTTCCGAACCTCGCAAAAATCGTCGTGTTATAGTTTGCAATTTCTCTTCCCTTATCTATTTTATAATTGTGCTATAAATTGTTTACTTTCATATCTTGATTTCATATGTTGATTATTGCACAATAGGTTATATTATTGATTAGAAATTATATTTCTATAATTTGCGAAAATTGGCCATTGACTCTATTCACCCCCCTCTAGAGTCATTACTTGGGTAACACTATGTTATGTCGGGGACAACGAGGGAAACAACTTTAACCTTTGAGGTATCATGAAAATCCAAACCCGAACTTAAAAATGGTCGAAAATGGATTCTAATAAGGGGGAAAGGTGCGCTTTGCCAAGGCTTTCGATAAACGCTAAGGCTAGAAACAAATAACCAAGGGAAGAGAGTGGAGTAGAAGAAAGAATAGTGGCAACCCTAGAGGCTGCCATGGCTGCCGGCCAAAGAGGGAGGAAAAAGGCTAAAATGCTGACTTTTTCATTTACTAAAAGTGCCCCGACAAGTCCGGAAAAGTGGAATCTGTGCAGACGCGCTTAAATGGTAAAACACCATGAACGAAAAGGAACCGAAATGAAAAAAAAAAGAAAAAGTAAACAACAGAAGAAATAGCGTCGAAAACTGAGTCCCGTGCAGAAAGATATACCCCGAATAAATTCAGCGATAACTAGAGCCGAAAACCGTAAAACTGGGGAAAACGACCGGAAGGGAATTGTAAGAGTACATGACTCGATGAAATGTGAAAATGAATCCCATACGAGGATCCAGGCTTAAAATGAGGCATTTTATAATAACTTTCGTTAATTGCACAATGGCCCCTCCAAGAAAGGGTAACTGCAAAACTAGGCCAGAATGAAAATATCTTTCAAAAGATATTCCTTAAAAACCCCCAACATAAAATATTTCAAAAGATATTTCCTAGAGCAACCAGAGTACTTTTCTACAAAAATAAAGATATGTGCTTTGTGGAAACCACATAAAATGAAGGTATGTGAAGTCAAAAACCAATTCCGAGCATGAAAAGTGAGGTTATGCCAAAAAGAGACGAATGGGGAAAAAGATGAAAAGTGAATAGTGTCGAAAAACGAAAGTATGGAAATGACGCGGTTCTAACAAATAAGTTGTGAATCCAAAGGAAGGAGTCTCGGAAACCATTTCCGAGCACTCGAGACGACACCAAGAGACGAGAAACTAAACTCAGAAAAGAAAAGACAACGGAAAAAAATATCCGTAAAATTTAAGAAAAAAGGAAAGGGAGAAAAATGACCGGGTCATTACATTTACCCGCATCAACCGTCAGACTAAAGTCTTGAAACACCCAAACCAACAAAACAGACAAGAAGGCTTTCGTCGTGGGTCCTTACGGAATGAATTTCCCCTATCCAAGGGAGAAACTCGCAAGACATGAATGTGTCTAAGGAATACAACAGACCCCAACAGACAATGTCCTAGCATCAATCTCTACCAACCAAGCTGGAATAACCCATAATGCTGAGACAAGACATAGAAAAAAGCAGTTAACATGTAACATAGCAATGAACTACATACTTACACAAGTAGTAAAATCACATAAGACATATCGATACACACAACATACAGTTATGCAAAGATGAACAAGCACATATAACACGCTAAAGCAAACAAGTATATACAATGTACTTAGGCAGACAAGCATATACAATATGCTAGAATGAACAGGCTTGTATAATGTACTCAGGCAAACAAACACATACAATATGCTAAGGCAGTTAAAGTAAACTTCTAAATATACGTCTACATTAGCATGTAAACATGTTATCAAATAAAAAAGAAGCAACTAAAAACATACAGCATGGCAACACAAGCATGTTATGCGCCCAAAACCCGTCGTCCTAAGGTTTTCGGACCTAGGAGCTCTGATACCACAAGTGACGGCCCTGGTTTTCAAGCAGTGTGTCCTGTGATAGACCAAAGTTTAACTTGGTAATGGATCCAAATGCAGAAGCAAAAATAGAAAACAAGTCTCTAGAGATACAATGTATCTCTAAGACATCAAAGCGACCTTCCATGAGGCCACGGATCTCAACGAGAACAAATGCGAAAACGAAAGATCAGAAAAAGACTGAACAAGCCCCCTAAGGGCAAAAAAGTCTTTTTATATAGAAATAACGTCTCTAGAAATGTACATCATCCCTAAGACACAAACGTGACTTCCCATGAAGTTACGGAACTCGAAAGAAAACAAAGCGGAAGTGAATTGAAAAGGAAGACGGAAAAGTTTAGCCCCAAGGGAAAAATGGTAATTTTTAGCAAGATTTAGGTGCTACCGAGCACACTATTGGAAGGAAAGCGAAAAATTAATCAAGTTAGGTTCAAGAATCACTTGATTCGGAGTCTGGACGAAGAAGTTATGGCTAACGGAAGAAAAAGGTCCAAAGAAGGTAACCCAAGACCATCTAACCAATTATGAGACTTTTCTAACCGGTTACATGGCAAAACAGAATGGTCGTAATGCTGCCACAAGTCATCTAACCGGTTACGAGAATCAGCTCACCCGTAAAGTTGTACTATAGATCAGCAAAAAGCCAGCAGCTAGGGTTTTTTAGAAAAAATAGATTTTTGAGGGCCAATATGACATTTTTTGGAAAAAAGTTATGAAGTGACCCCCCGCCCCACCAAATCACGTTTTCTGGTCAACCAGGTCAAGAATAACATTTTTTTCTCAAGTGAAATACCTAAAATGCCCCTAAACCAAATTATGCGAGAAAAATGTGAAATGAGTCCATATAAGGCTCATTTCACTAAGGAAAGAGTTTTTCCCGGAAACGATTATGCACGCAGACGTAACTTACCTATTATGACGTGCTACAATGATCAACGGCTTAAAAATACCGCCAATGCAAAATATGACCTACCTAAACCCCAATGCGGGAAAAATCCCCTTTAAAGGCAAAAAATGCAAGAATCGGACCTAAATGCAATCAAAAGACCATTTGGCCCTTGGTCACACTTCATGCATATTAAATGAGACCTAGTGGATGTGCTCGTGCACACTTTGCACTACCCGATTTGGAAATGAACCCTAACGCTCGAATTTTCCTATTTTAGCCTAAAAATGCAATATATGAAACCAAAATATAAAACCTAAAACAAAATGGTGTTTGGCACTTGGCAACACCTCATACATGGTAAATGAATACTAAACAACAAATTTCATACACAATGCACGCTCTGGTGCAAAAACGACATGTTAAAACCCTAGTTTTTCATATATTTCACATTAAAGGCAAAATTTTACCTTTATGAATACACATGAATTTCGAAAGAAGTTTGGCCCTTGGCCATATATCATATACATAAAATAAATGTTAAAAAGTGTGCTTAGACACACATTACAAGTCTCAAGGTAAAAATGACATTTTTAACCTAACTATACATTACAACTTTTAAAGTAAAACTAAAACATGTTAACACTTGCATGTGAACAAGAATGCATTTAAATGAACTTCAATCCAACGAAACGATCTAGGGACATTGTGCATCCCCTATCAAGGTATCTGTACTTGAAAAATAACCCAATAACTTTGGGGTGAGTAAACTAGTTACTCATAGGGAATGAGCATGCAAAGACCTAACTTTTTATTAAGTTATTACATTAACATGAAACAATTCAAAAGGATCATGTTACCTAACGTCTATGTCATAAGTGAGACTCAGGAATCATCCAAAGCTACTTTAAAGCATTTCTAACATAAATTACAATATTTATGCAATTAAACAATATAAAAGCATATTATACAACGCAACAAGATATAGATTATTGAAGTTATCAACTTGAAATCTGAAATGCGAAATCAACTAAAATGGTTCATGCCACTTAACGTCTATATTCCAAATGAGTTTAAGAAATCATCCTAGGCTACATTAGAACAATAAAACACAAATCAGAATATTGATGCAATTTGACCAATATTGAAACTTCCAATACAACGCATAGAGCATGATTTCTCAAAGTTGACATTTTGAAACTTAAAATGGGAAATCAAATAAGGAACAACAAGTTACAACATCATCTAGTTATCAACTTGAAATAAAATGCGAAATCAAACAAGGTAGATACTCGGACATCACGCCGGATCAGACCGGCAACAAGGTTACTTTAGGGTTACTAGCCCACGGGTAACCTCCCTATGTGCGCACTAGACTATAGGGGGAACTCGTATCCCCCATACTAGAACCATGCCTTAGTTGTAGTCATACAACAACGTCCCAAGTTTTCAAAATTAACAAATTGTGCAACAACGTATATATCAACATGTATATACAAGATATTAGCTATCTACCATGCAAAATTCAATTTTTGGAAACACACAACACGTGCTCTAAGTCCATAATTACACTACACCATATTAGGGTTTTACCAGCGCTATTTTAAAGAGCGCTAGTATAGGTGCAATCGTACCAGCGCTTTTTTAAAGAGCACTGGTATAGGTGCAATCATACCAGCGCTTCTTTAAAGAGCACTGGTATAGGTGTAATCGTACCAGCGCTTTTGAAAGAGCGTTGGTATAGGTGCAATCGTACACCAGCGCTCTTACTAGGAGTGCTAGTATAAGGCTAATAGTACCAGTGCTTTACAAAAGAGCATCGGTAAGTGTGAAATTTAATGCAGGAAAAATTGGCGCTTTAACATTATTTCACTTTTTTATTTTTTTTAATTTTCCATTTATTTCTTCTAACCTTATCTCATCCAAGCCCTAGGTTTCTCTTCAGCCTCCCATTCGCCTCCATCTCTATTCTCGGTCTCAACTCTGAACTTGCCCCCTCTCATTCTCTCTGCAACTCCCCAATCGCCTCTATCTCTATTCTCGTTCTCAACCTATTGCACCACAACCACCACTATCACTCCACCCCATATCCTCACACCACCACTAAAGCCAACCCCTCTCACTTTGTTCGAGCTTTCTGCTATGGGTTTTTTGGCGAGATCTCTGGCCAAACCTCAGCCTCTAGCTCTCGATCTCATCTCTTCTCTATCGGCTTCGTCTCTGGCCGACCCTCGGCCAAGGAGATAACATTCTCATCTCGCCGCCATCCACAGCTATAATTTTCGGTCATCTACTCCGGCGAATCTCAGGCCGTCACCTCATCGTTCTCGGGTTGGTCTCTCTCTCGGATTTTTCTCTTCATTCCTTTGCTCTTCTCTCTATCTTTCGGGTAAGCATCTTTCCCCTGTCATTCATATAAATATATATATGAGTTCATGTTTGAAAATTTCTGAAGGAAAGGTTAATTAAACTGTTTTGGAGATTTTTGGAATTTTATTTTGAAATGGGAATTCCGGATTTTAGTTATGTGAGATTTTATATGTTTTGCCATGTTACAAATATTGTGAAGCATGAAACTGTGATAATGAAGACTGTGGAAAAACTGAGAAATTACTGTGAACATGTATTTGATCATTGGGATTGCAATTTAAGAATACTTTGATATATATTCTGTGATGTTGAAAAAGGAGGATGGTTAGTAATGATGGGCTGTGTTTGAAAATTATTTCTGAAAATTTTGTCAAGGGCTGTGTCCCTAACTTTGGAGATTTGAAGTTCTAAATTTATTTGTGTTGTCATAATAAATTTTTGTGAAGCATGCTCTATGTTTTGATATATATTTCTATGTTTTGAGTTTCAAATTTTTGTGGAGGCTATAACCTTGATGACGCATATGTGTCGTGTGTGTTAAAAATTTGAAAACTCTATTTTGATATGCATATATAGTCTGTATTTCAAATTTCCAATGAGGCTGTGAACTGTGGCTATGGAACTGTAATTGTGAAACTGTGATTGGTCGTGGTTTGTTGATGTAGTAAGTAGAAGAATACCTTGAGTTGGTCATTTACAATTTTAGAATAGAGACATTTTCCATTTTCTTTTTGTGAACAAACTTCCTTCTGGTATTTATATAAGTGGAGTCTATATTAATTACATATATAGGCTCTTTTATTTACATGAATGGTTATTCAAATAATGAAAAAAAAAAAATTCCTCTTCTTTTGTTGAACTTAACCTAGCACCTTAAGTTAGAAAAAATTCATGTTTTTTTTTTTCTTCTGAATTTTCAAGTGCAGAGCAATCTAATATTCTAAATTGTTCATACAGAGCGTTGATTTCTTTAGAATGTTACTAGATTGTATGATTTTCGGTAGAAACTATCTTGAATTTGTAGGCCCTCTCTTGAGTAAGGTTAACCTTTGCTATTTCTTATGCAAATTCTAGGAAATGTGAGACAGTGAGAGTAGAGACTGGCAAGTTATAGGCACCTTGGGAGTGACTGCACTTGGATGGAGCACTTGATCAGATATCTAATTTCTTGGATGTTCTAAATTTCTAATATAGTGTGTGTGTGTGTGTGTGTGTGTGTGTGTGTGTGTGTGTGTGTGTGTGTGTGTTTTTCTTTTTCAGTTGTAATTTTACATTATTCAAAGCACGTAGATCTTATAATTAGCTTAAAAGAGGGATTTTACGTATATTTAGATAGCGTACTATAAACTGACATAAAAAGGTAGATACATAAAGCCTGAAGACTCATACACTGGTGCTAAAAATTTATGCGCTTGAACATTATCATTTCTGTGCTATACAGATTACTAAATTTTTTGAAATTCTTTTCAGTCCACAAGTTCTAAACAGAATAAGCTCATGCCAGAAATGTTATATTTTCAAAAGGGCAAGAAAGGTCACTACACCATATTAGGGTTTTACCAGCGCTCTTTTAAAGAGCGTTGGTATAGTTGCAATCGTACCAGCGCTTTTTTAAAAACCTATTACATAATCAAAACCCATATCTGATATGCCAGATTGTTCAAAAAATCAAAACCCATATCTTTTAGTTTCCATCGCCAGCTGTTCTAGTTCGGGTTCGCCGTTCATAAGCTTCAGCCGCTGTCTCTTAACTCTCAAGCTTGCCCCCCTCCCCCCCCCCCCTTCTCTCTTTGTATGTATGGGTTTTTTTTTTTTTTTTGCTAAATCAATTAATCACTGGCTTGTTGTGATGGAAAAACATGAGGAAGACGACACTTCTAGGGACCAGATCATCAATATTTACATCAAAACTCGGATTAACAATTTATTTTTTTCTGTAATTTTCTTATAATTTGATTAAGGCGGTTCCCCCCTTTGATTGATGAGAGATGTAAAGGAAGTTACAGAAAATTGCCCAAGTCAGATTATGATGTATGTGTGTTCTGTTTGTAGAGTGAGTGCTCCGCGGTATACGATGTTGTCGATGCAGACAAATTTGAATATGCCTCCACTTCCTTCCAATATGACGGAAAAGGTTCTTCCAGTTGCACCAACACAATCAAAGACCAGTGGGGGTGAGAATTTTGAGTTCCTCAAACTATTTATATGCTTCAAATTTTGTATTCTGAATTTGTAAAGGAAGTAAAACTTTGGATCATATATATGTGTATGTACATATATTGTTTTGATATGCACAGGAAATTTAGGAAAAAATTGTTCTGATTTTGAATCTGTAAAACTTTGGATTTCTGCAAAACCCTCTCATGGTTGAGTCAATAATTGTGTATATAATATTATCCTTTTTAACATTTTGTGTTAATTTATCACGTTTATTCCTTTAATGTATTAAAGGTTTTTATTTAGAACCATGCTCTACTGTGGTGTTATAATTTCTAAATCACAAGTTATCAAGTTCTTTTAACATAAATTTTCTTATTTTTTGTGCTTAGGAGTGGTTCTTGTATTACCTACAAAATGAGTAGTTCATTTAATTTTCAGGAAAAAATTAAAGTCACTTTATTTTTCTCTTTGTCAGTAAAAAACTATAGCCATCTCAAATTGAACCAAATATAACATTCTGTTGAAGAAAGCTACGCTTCTGTAAATTAGCAGTTTGATGAAGAATTAATGGCCAACTCAGAGTTGAGTGTGCATGTGGAAAATTAATATGTTATGTTTCTTATGCATTGTGATAAAATGTTTTGTTTCTTGTGCTGATATGCCTGAGACATTTATAAAGAAATTTTGATTCTTCTGTTGCCAGTTGCTGTTATATGTAAAAGCATTTTCTTATCAAGTTTCAGATTTTTTGGTTGTAATTTTATTTTTTTTCCCCTTTCATGTTACAATTTCTTCGGAGGTGAAGGTTTCAAATTGAGGTCATTGGTTACTTAGAAGGGTTTGAACACCAAATTAAGTCCATTAGTGATCAAAGGGATCTGCATTTTTCTTATAGTGTTTAGAGGTTTCAAGTGTCTCGTGGCTTATGGGGTACACTAGTACTGTATTTTGCTACCATTTGTTTGAAAAGAAGGATAGACTATTAAATTGAATGCAACTAAAAACCTTTGATTGATTTGCTGCACCTTTTTTTATTTTTATTTATTTATTTATTTATTTTCTTCTTCTAATTGCACGTTTTCTTGCAACAACACTATGTTATTCCTAATTTTGTGCACAGGTGAATGATGGGAGGAACATCGATCCATCTGAGCTGCAAGAGAAGTTGACCGACTTAGTCATTCGGACTTCAAGTTAGATCCCTTTTTAATTTTTGTTTCTCTGATGTTTTTGTTTTCAAACTAGAATGGGGCTTTAAGTTGGATTTTGAAGTGTGAACTTGTGGTGCTTGTGGGGGCTACTTTCTACTCTTGGGAAGTTTGTTGTCTATATTTTTGTAAGTCTTCCTTCCTTGCATTCCAGATAGTAATTAAGATAGTGTAGTGACTGTTCTTGTACACAGGAAAATTATTTCATGTTAGGATTGTTGATTGAGACAACATACATTAATTCTGTCTTTCATGTGTTTTTCTATTTCTCCAGTGTTATGACTCTTAGTTAAAACACATATTCCATTATATTTTTGATTTGGCTCTATCTTATTATCCTTATTCCTTAATGCTATACAGATAGGAGCTATTGATATTTAATTTGCTCACCTTCTGTTCATGTACTATAAATCATATTGAACTTTTTTTTTGGCAGTTAACTGAGTAAACTATTTCAACAGCTATAAATTTTATTTCATTTTCTACAAATGACATCATCAATAATTTGCCTCTTCCATTTTTGTTTTGATTCCCAGCTAGCTTAATTTCATTACCTCTTTTCCCTCTCCAAGCCAAAATATATGAACTTAATAGATTATTAATAGATTACCTTTTTGTTTGCTTTTCCAAGAAGGATAAATAATAAGCTGACAATGAAACGAACGGTTAGTTAAGTGGAAAAAGTGAGTGAACAAAAATACCCAAGCTTCAACTTCAAAATCATCCCAACCACCTCCGCAGATTTATTCATTCGTACACATATAAATAAGGATGGCAATGCTACTGATGCTGCTGCTTCGGAGATGATTGTAAGTTTTCATGATTCCATGTTGCAAAAAGGGGGTCACGTGCCCTGAAGTGACCAATTTTTAAACTCTTTGCGGTGTATTAGGGGGTCACATGCTGAGATACCCCTCAATTCTAGAGCCACGGGTAATCAAGTCTGAGCACAGATCCGAGGAATACCAAACAATTAATATGTAAACAAGCAGGAATAAATAAATAAACTGAATTAACAATAAAGAATAATGCGCTGAAAGAAACTAAAATAAAAATCCCCAAACTTTGAATAATAAATTAATATTATTTAAATCCTCCAAATCCGTACAACTCGGGAATCCATTTAGTGGACCCCTAATAATTCCAACTGATAAATAAATTTACAGAATTAAAATTCAAAATTAAAATAAGAAATGAAATCCTATGTAGTCGGAAGAGTGAGTGAATGTATCTGCATCACCATGATCAAGCCCTAAGCCTGATACTCATGAACACCTGAAAAATAAAGGTGGGTCAGGCCCACATGCAAGTTCCATCCTACTACCCTCCGTACATAAACCCGATACGCAGATACATCCTAGATAGCTCGGCAATATCTAAAATAGTCCATATATATATATACACACTAAAGGATGCTCACTAGCCTATAACATAGTTCAGCCTGAGTAGAAGGTGACATAAAAATACGCTTTACAGCGGCCAAGTACCTAAACCTACCAGGGAACATCAGCTATATCTAGCTATCCAACCTTTGCGATATACGCACCCTAACCGAGATCAGGAGACTCAAGCTCGTATCACGGCACTATAAGTATATATATAAATTTCTTCCTAGTGCAGAAAGATAAAAACAAATAACCATTGTGTCGTTTAACCATTTTAGCTGACAAGACATGCAACCATGTAGGATTTAACTGTTTTAGTTAATCCATTCCTTATGTATGAATGGGTTGGAATTAGCGTTTTGACCTAATCCGTCCCTCCGTATGTTACCGTCCCATACCGGTACATACATGCATATGATCCACAGATGATGCACATTCAAATGAACATCAAATACATCTAGAAACCAGCATAATAGAAAATAGATATTATTAAGATCCCATCATGCATCCAGTATATGATTATAATCATTAATCCTTCTATTAAATTGTTAATGTAATGATTAACAATTTAAACCATCCATTTCCATATAATTGACAGAACAGAAATTACGACAGTTCAGCAATTATCATCCCTAACATAATATAATGAATATCAGAATTATAAACTGCACATTATACTAGAATTCCCAACTAATACATCCATACTAGTTCATTTACACTATTAAAACGGAGACTAGCTTTTGAATCCTCCTCAATCCTTATCGGCATGCAAATTAATATTTAATTCTCATGGCAACTATTAAATCCCCAACTGTAAGTCCGGAGTATGATATAATGATGCTCAGATATATAAACTAAGCACACACACTCAGATTCTATAACCACACTCCTATTAGTCCATTTACTTTGCTAAAATAGCCGCTAGCATCAACCCTTTCATATTCCGTGACGACATGCAAATTATTATTTAAAATTTCATGATGTCTATTAACACACTTTAAACCAACTTCCTGAGCCTTCATTTTGTTATATATATATATAATCATATAACGTCTCACAAACAATTTAGTAACAGTTCGTTTAAGTTGCTAAACAAATCAGCAACTTGATCCTTCATCCTTCCTTAACAGTATGCCTAATCATATGTTTATTTTTCATGATCAACCTTTTAAGATTAGCATACTAGCTTATACTAACTATTTTCATGCTTAAACAGATTAATTTTAAAACTTTAAAACCTCCCACAATTTTCCCGAAATCACATCCAAGCCCCTGAAACCTAGAAATCCACATGAAAACACCCGTAGGTGTTAGCAACCAAGGGAGCAGGCTCTGGAAACCCTTGGAGTCGGCTCTACTTCTTGTAGAGCCTCCTCTACTTGTTATGGAGCCGGCTCTACCTGCTGTAGAGCCGCCTCTACTCACCTAGCCTCCAGTTTCCCTCTCTGCTTCCTCTGTTCTTCGTCTTCGTTTCCGGCGATAATTCCAACTATCTATCCTAAGTTTTTTAAGGATTTTAAGAGTTCAATTTAAGCCCTAATACTCCTAGAAACTCTTTTGATTCCACTCCAAGTTGTTTGACCAAAAATCTAAACAGAAACAGAGCAGTTTATACAAGAACACCAATCACAGTTAACTGAACAAATAACCAGTTTTAAGTCTGATCCCATGCATCAAAATTCAGTTTGAAAGTTTAATTAACTTCCTAACCATCCTAGCAACTCCTTAAAATCCATCATAAATTAATTTACAAAGGTTTAATATACAATCCAATAGCTTATACAAGGAAAACAAACCAGTGATTTATACGTTAATCAGTTTACAGTCCGGCAAACATGCATCAAACATCAGTTTTAAAAATCGAGTTAATTCCTAGAGACTATACAGAATGCACAGAACACAAGTTTACAAGAAGGAGAGAATGAAACTTGCCTTTAGGTTTTGGTTTGAAACCTTACAACACCGTTTATGGAGTTTCCGACGAACTCCTATTGTTCAGCTCTATCTTGCAGTAACCATACCTTCCTCCTTGACATGAGTTTCAATCCAAAGCCCTTTCCTAGTTCCCTTCATGTTTTCCCCTCAACCTCTCTATTTTTCCTCTCTCCAAACACTACGTGAATAGGGTTTTCTCAAACCCTTGCAGACACATATATTGTTCTATATATAGACTTTTATTTAAACCTACGTCTAATTCCAACATGACTTAAAAGTTGGCTAAACCTAACTTCTTAACCCAACGTGAATACATAAAACATAAAACCCTAATTCAAAGAGGTAATTGAAACAAAGAAAATAAATAAACAAATTTTATAGCTACCAATTAAAAACTACCAAATATAATCTACCAAAGACACGTCATTTAAAACATCATTAATTAAATATTTAATTTAACCAACAGTTAAAATTAAAACAATTTTAATTAAACAATTAAATTAAAATAAATACACCCTTAATCACTTACGCAAATAATAAAACTAATTCACCACTAATCAATTTAGGAATCAAAACACATAAGTCACATAATTAAATAAAAATGCAATAAAAATTAAAATTTAATTCCCATTTTATTCTTTTGAAAACTAGGGTTGAAAACTAGGGGTTTACACATGCCTTGAAGTGACCAATTTTTAAATCATCGGCCCGTGTGGAGGCATTTTAATTTCATTGTTTCTAATCGGCCCGTGTGGAGGCAATTTACTTTCTTGTATTTGTTGAAAAGCATGGGAGTATGGGATCATTGTATGTGGAGGCTTCTTGTTGATTGATTTGTGTTGTGGAGGAGAAGTATTTTCTATTTGTTGTTTGTTGTTTATGTTAATTTCTTACTCATACCAGTTCAATGGTCTTTTGAATATAGAGCAGTGAGATTGAAAAAACAAAACAAGTTGAAAAACGGACTTAGTAAAACTGACCAGAACTAAAAATTTAACAGATTTGAGAGGTGACTTGCCCAGAGAATACTTGTATCACTTTACAAGCTTTGTTTCCTCAGTTGTGAGGAAACATGTAGTACAATTTTGTGTGACACACAACTATATCATGTTCAATGTGAATTTAGAAATTTGTAACTAAAAAAAATTCTCTAGCAAAAACTAATGTAACCTTGCTATATGGAACAAGAGCTCAGTATTAGATGTCTTCAGGCCTTAGAGTCATTGAATGGTAGAAATCATATACAGGAACACATTCAAATTAAAATGTACAGAGACTTGGAATCTTAGTAACTCTCATTCATGTGACCCCTTCATATTTAAGTACAGGGTGGTAGAACATCATTGTTTATAATAACTTGGACCATAGTCAGCACATTATGTTGTACTTTATGCTTGCATTTCCTTATTATCCTTGTATCATTATGTTGTTTCATTCCATTATGCCCATGTTTTGAAACTCTTTCGTAAGTCTAGTTTGATTTTTGTCACCTTTTATAGTGCTTAGTTCCCCACACAGGATAAATGATCTACTAGTTGTTGGTTCAAAATGTCTCAAATTGCTCCCTCTGCTACTTTAAATGTTACTGACATTCTTTAATACTTTTTAGGTTCCTTATGTGAACTAGTACTGAAAACATAGCAAAGGAAATGTCTCTCTACTATAATGAATCTGCTATTGAGGAATGATGCACGGAAGATATAGATGTTTATGACGCACAGAAGATATAGATGTTGAGTCCATTTTCTAGTCATGATGCCAATTCAATTAAGGTTATGAACTTTCAATTTCTCTTATATGTTAAATTTTCATTTATTATAATGTGCGCTTAATGAATTTATAAAAAATGTAGGGTAATTCAAATCAAATGGGCAAGAAGACTTGTTGAAGTTGAAGCTAAAGATGGGGTCGTGGCTGTGCTTTCTGAATTTCCTTCCCCTTGGATGGGTCCTTTTTGAAAAACTTGTACTACATTTGTCAAAAATTCTTAATTCTTTTTGTGTGACATTTAGTAGCTTTATCTAGACAATTTGGATGGTATTTTCATATTGGTAGGTTAACTTGTGGTTATATTAGTATACATTTTAGCTTTTTGGTTGACATTTACCAACTTTATCAATTAGTAGCCAATTTCGATGGTATTTTTCATATTGGCAGCAGGTTAACTTGTGGTTGTATCATGTAAAAACAATTTGGACGGTATTTTTATATTGATTTGTGTTATATTGGATAACATTTAGTAGCTGCAAAAATTAAAAAAATAAAAAATTTAAAATGACCGCTCTACCACCGCTTGTTCAAAAAGCGCTGGCATAGGGGGAAAAATAAAAAATAAAAAATAAAATAAAATGACCCCAATACCAGCGCTTTTTGAAAGAGCACTGGCATAGGGAAAAATAAAATAATAAAACAAAAATTAAAATGACCCAAGTACCAGCGCTTCTTGAAAAAGCGCTGGCATAGGGGAAAAAAAATAATATAAAAAAAAAAATTTTAAATGACCCAAGTACTGGCGCTTCTTGAAAAAGCGCTGGCATAGGGGGAAAAAAATAATTAAAAAAAAATTAAAATGACCCCAGTGCCAGCGCTTCTTGAAAAAGTGCTGGCATAAGGGGAAATAAAATAATAAAAAATAAAATAAAATGACCCCAGTACCAGCTTCTTGAAAAAGCGCTGGTATAAGGGAAAATAGAATAATTAAGAAAAAATTAAAATGACCCCAGTACCAGCGATTTTTGAAAAAGTGCTGGCATAGGGGGAAAAAAAATTAAAATGACCCCTGTACCAGCGCTTTTTTAAAAGCGCTGGTAAAGCCCTACCGACGCAGGCTTGACCAGCGCTTTTGAAAAAGCGCTGGTAATCGCTTTTTAAGACTTTTACCAGCACTTTTGAGCGCTGGTAAAAGTCAGATCTGTTGTAGTGTTACTGTGGCAAGACAAATGTCAAATCTTCATAGTGCGATTCATTATACGCTATAATAACATCATATGTCGAATTTTCAGTGTGCGATTCATTACACGCTATAACAATGTCATTCAATATTAAAAACATAAACTCATGAATCTAATACATGCCCAAAATCATGATTTAAACATACAACCAATGTCAAATACATACAATAGAAACGGAAATTAATTAAATAAACTAATTAATTTATCTAAATTTCAAATCTCAACCAAATAATCCCTAATTAATAAATGTCATAACATGATCATTACATATATCTATTCAAAAACTTAATTAGGTTATTGAAACAGTAAAGTAGAATTTAATTAAATCATGATAATTAAATCTCTAGATTCTAAAGCAACTCCAAATGGTCCCAAATAAATATATGCTAGTAAACAAGTCCTAGTCATTACAAATGTCAAGTTAAAAACTTAATTAAGCCAATTGAACCATTAAATAAATTTTAATTAATTCTTTTAATTAAAATCTCTAGATTTTTGAAGTCATCCAAAAGTTCTCAAATTAACATAAATTAAAGAACATACCAAGGCCTATTTTAATATCACAATACAAGTTAATTTCATGTAAATTACAACCATGTGAATTAAACTTTCATAAAAGAAAATTATTAAATGAAAGTTGCAATATTTAGTCAAATGCTCCTAATTTAATATATGTTAATAAACATCTCAGGGCCAAATTTAATAGCATGCCACAATTTAATTTTAAGCTATACACAACCATGAGAATTAAATCTTATACATAGAAAATAATTAAATTAAATTCTAGAACTTGAACAAAAGTATGCATACAAGTTGTATAAGCCTATAAAACAATCAATACAATATTTCAATAAACCTAAGACATCCCCTACCTCAATTTAAGATGAAAAATCTCAAATCCCCACCGAAATGAAACCGTTCTGAATCCTATGAAACTTCGGGGTTTCGTTGGGGACAACACGGTGAACATTAAACCCCAAGGAAGTTACACCAAAATCCAAACTTGGCTTCAAACCCGAACTCGAAAAATGACCGAAACAAGATTCCAATCGGTTAGAATCGAAGGCCTTGCCAAGGAGGACATTAAAGCCTAAGGCACTATGGCATTTTACTAAAGGGAAGAAGTCTAAAGGAGGAGCGAGAAGGTGGCAGCCCCTTGGGTTGCCATGAATGTAACGACCCGGTCATTTGCCTTCCTTTTCTTTTTCCTGAAATTTTACGAATGAATTTTTTTCGTTTAATTTTCTTTTCTGAGCTCTGTTTCGTGTCGCTTAGTGTCATCTCGAGTGCTCGGAATTGGTTCCTGAGACTCTTTTTCGTGGATTGATAACTTCCTTTGAGGACCGAGTCATTTTCGCATTTTTCGTTTTTCGGACACTATGCGCTATTTCATCTTTTCCCTATTCTGTCATTTTCCCTATTTCGTCTTATCTCTGTTTGTCAGTTTTTGGCACAACCTCACTTCTCATGCTCGGAGTTGGTTTTTGACTTCACGTGCCTTCATCTTGAGTGGTTTCTTCGAAATACGTATCTTTACTTTTGCAAGAAAGTACTCTGGTTGCTCCCGGTGTCCATAGGGGCATGGATGCAAAGTTCTTTGAAATTATTTTCTTTTCTTGGGGTGTTTTTCGTAAATATCTTTTGAAGATATTTTATTTCAAGGGTTTTTAAGAAAATATTTTTGGAAGATATTTTCATTCTGGGCTATAAGTGCAGTTTTCACTTTTTGGAGGGGCCATTATGCAATTAATGAAAGTTATTACAAAATGTCTTGTTTTGAGCCTGGATCCTCGTACGGGATTTATTTTCACATTTCGTCGAGTTGGGTACTCTTGGAATTTCCTCCTGGTCGATGTTTTCCAGTTTTAGGGTTTCTGGCCCCGATTTTTGCCAAACTTGTTTTGGGCATAACTTTCTGCTCGGGACTCAGTTTTTAACGCCCGTTTCTTCCATTATTCATATTTTATCATTTTGAATCTTTTTTGTTCACAAAGTTTTGCCATTTGAGCGCGTCTGCTCAAATTTTACTTTTTCGGATCCGGCAGGGCCCGTTCGGGGCACTTTTTGAGATTTCTATAAAAGGGGAGGTGAGATATTTCATTTTTGATCTTCTCCCCTCTTCACGCACAACCTGAAGCTCCCATGGCAGCCCAAGGGGTGCTGCCATCTTCTCTCTCCTCTTTTGGTTTACTTTTCCTTAATGGAAAGTCTTCGGCTTTAACGTTTGTTGTTCCCCTCGCCGTGCTCTACCTTTCCCCCTTATTAGAATTCAGTTTTGACCATTTCTTGAGTTTGGTTTTGAGGTCAAGTTATGATTTTGATGGGGCTTTGATGGGGGTTATGTTCACGGTGTTGTCCCCAACAAAACCTCTCGGTATCGTCGAATTCGGAGCATTTTTATTTTGGTGGGCCTTTGGGATTTTCATCTCAAATTGAGGTAGGGGATGTTTTAGGTTTAAATTCTTGTTATATAGTACGCTTGTGATGCTTATACTACTTGTTTGCATGATTAAATATAAAATCTAGAAATTTTATTATTTATTTTTCTTGTACGGGATCTAATTTTCCCGGTTGCTCATGACTTGGTTTAAACATGTAGCATGATTTTATATTGCCCCTTGATATGCTCATTGTCGTGTATTAAAATTGGAACATTTGAATAAGTATTAAAGATTTTATTTAATATTTATCTTAGGTAAAAGATTAATTCACATGGCCTTAACTAGCTTAAAATCAATATGTGTTAGCATATTAAATTAGGCCTTTACATGCTCTCCAACATAGTTGAATTTGAAAGTAATTGGAGGTGTTTTGAAAATTAGTAATTATTAATTAATTTGATTAATTAATTTGCCTCAAGTGCACTATTCACTCTATTTAAATTCCGACTTGATATTCTTGACTTACATGCCATATAGCTTCACATATGTTTGATTTAGAATATTCGGTTAGGTTTTCAAACCTTTCATTTAATTAAATTCCTTGTTTAAGATTTAATCCTCATGGTGATATACAACTTGGAATTGAATTGTGGCATGCTAGAAAATTAAGCTTAGGTATAGTTGTTCAAATATATAAAATTGAGATTAATTGCATGAGAATTGCAACTTTTATTTTATATTTAACTTTAGTGAAAGTTTAATTCACATGGTCGTAAATTGAATAAAATAAACTTGTAATATGATATTTTACTAGTCCTTGGCATGTTCTCTAAGATATGTTAAATTGAGAGCATTTGGTTAAGTTTGAAAATCTAGGGATTTTAATTAAAAGAATTAATTAAAATCTATTTAATGGTCCCCTTAGCTTAATTAAGTTTTTAACTTGATAATTGTATTGATCATGACTTGTTACTAGTATATATTAATTGTGGACCATTTGAAGTTGCTTTAGAACCTTGGTAATTAAATTAGCATGATTTAATTAAAGTTCTACCTTGTTGTTCCAACAACCTAATTGAGTTTTAGAATGGATATAGGTGATGACCATGCCATGTCCTTTAACATGTATTAAATTGAGGTTATTTGAAATTGAATCGGAATCTAGAGAATTTAATTGTGTTTATTTATTTACATTCTATCAATTTGCTCCATGATCTAGTTGTGTTTTAGAAGTGGTTTCTATATTCAAATCATGGACTTGGACTTGTTGTATATTCATTTGGTTATGTTTTGAACATTGGATAACATAATTGCTATGTTTGTATTCATGAGAATATGTTTTCCTTATTGAATATATTGTTGCCTTGTGTAATAATTTGCACACTTCGTGTTTAACATCTTTCATGCATAGCGTATAATGAATCGCACACTGAAGATTCGACATTCATCATATCATATTAGTTGTGGATTTAGAGCATGTATTGTATAGGTTTCCAAATTTGGTTGTGCTTAGTAGATAGTTGATTATCTTGCATAATCCTGTTGATATATGCGTTGTTGCACAACTTGTTGATTTTGGAAACTTGGGAATGTCGTTATTTGACTATGGCTAGGATGTGGTTCTAGTACGGGGGATAGTCCCTCTATATATAGTCTAGTGCGCACATAGGGAGGTTACCCATGGGCTAGTAACCCTAAAGTAACTATGTTGTCGGTCTGATTCGGCGTGACGTCCGAGTATCCACTTTGTTTGATTTTGCATTTCATTTTCAAGTTGATAACTAGATGATGTTGTAACTTGTTGTTTCTTATTTGTCGTTCCATTTTAAGTTACATGATGTTAACTTTGCGAAATTGTGTTTTATGCGTTGTATTGGAAGTTCTAATGTTGGTTAAATTGCATCGATACTGAAAATCGTGTTTTGGCGTTCTAATAAAGCTTAGGATTGATCCTATTGATTTATTTATAACATAGACGTTAGGTGGCATGAACCACTACTGTTATTTTGTGCTTTAGATTCTAAGTTGATGGCTTTGAGAACTTAAACCTTGTTGCATTGTATAACATGTTTTTTTGTTGTTGAATTGCATGGATAATGTGATTTTTGTTAAGTTGTATTCAAATATGCTTTTGTCATGTTGTATGGATTACTCTAAACCTAGTTCAATTGTATTGAAAATGCAATTCATGTTAATCTATGCTCAAGCATAGATTAGGATGCTTGTTGCTTAGAATGCAATTCATGTTATCCCAACCATGATTCGTTTCATACACGTATGTATATCATGATTCTTGTTGCTTAGACTCTAA